ATTGCGTTTTTATTTTCTTAATTACAGTTGGATGAGCCTTTAATAAAGGAGAGGCTGTTTTCTCAGGTGGTGGTCTCAACAACAGATCAGCCCTTGGCCCCTTCTCCTTACCCTCTCCCGACATCTCCTCTATCATCTCCAGGGCTGAAAGCACCGCTCTTTCCTCCCCCTCCCCCACAGCCTCCTGAAAAGCAAATTCTCCAGTTGTCTCCTCCCTCACTGCTAAAGTAAAGTATCTTCCAGGATCATGACCTGTCTTCTCAATAATTGTTTCTCTTTGTTAAGGGCATTCCATAGGTCATCACCCAATTCTTTCAGGCGGTGCAGAAGTGTGTCTCTCTCCTAGCCAAAGTGTGTCTCTCTCCTTGATAACCCTTTCTACTATTTCAAGAAACAAACACCCCACAATCCCAGCTGCCATATGGTTTCTCAGAGTTTCTAAGCTGCCTTCTGTCTCATGGAGGACTAATTCCACAGCTTCTGGTGTCTCCGCCCTTCCCCAATTTTGGTGAAGGACCCACCCATCTAGGAGGTGCTTTACCCTTTTCCAGTTTCTACTAAGGTCTCCCAAAGTGAAAGCTCAGTGGATAGGGGGCTCCTGGGTGAAGCTGCATCCTCTACCGCTGAAGCCACTGGGACCTCCGCACCATCCACGGAGGGTTCCAGGTATCTCCCCAGCAGACCTAGGGGCAGCCTGCCCAAGCATTGCACCCATGAAGACAGATTTTGAGTTTAGAGGTTTTGCCGGCTACCGCCAGGTGTAATTCCAGGGTGACAATAAGTTCCCAGCCCAGGGAAAATTACCTTTGAAACGAAAATCAATCAAGGGGAAAAATAAAGTGGGAGAAATCTGTTTATTGCCTACAAGCGGTCGTCCACTTCTGCTCACCCATGTCTCTCATGACCCAGCTGTTAAAAGGACCCCATCATACATCTCTGGTCCAGATATACCTTTACTCCCCTCCCCTTGTGATCACCTATTGATATGGATATTGACTACTTCTCTCCGCCTCTTGGAAACACCTATTAATATGGAGATGCACTATGGCTGAGTGAGGGATTCTGGAAATACTGCAGTTTTACTCACAACCCCCACACCTTCTGGGTTTTGAGAAATGTATGGGAAGTTCTTGCTATAATGCCTGATATGTTGTAAGCCCTTAGTAATTATTTCTTTTGTATTATTATTTTCTACTGTACCTACTGTACTTCTAGATTTCTATAATGAAATGCAAATTTTTTTCCATTTGGTCCTTGTATGATCTTATCTTAGG